GGGCCAAACCAGTAGCATTTGGAAACATGCTGAGGGCTCTCTGTTCCCATGGATGTAATGACACTGGAGGGTGCTCAGCGGCTGCTGCTGGGACAGTGCCTCACAGGATGGTGCCTATGCCATTGAGCGAGGAAAGCACTTTGGTGGTAACAGGCTCCCCCTGGGAAATTACTAGTGAAGGAAGGAAGGAGGACTATCGGTGCAAGAATTTTAAGATGAGTAAGGAGTGGGGAAATGGCAGAACTGACCATAGACTGTGCTGAAAGGGAAACATTAGGCTGGAGGAAAGTCAAGAGTTTAAGACTGTGTGTGTTGTTTTGGGGAAAATTCTCAGTCTCATTTACTGCTTACTTTAATGTTTCTGACACAAGAATTAGCAATAGTATTTTCACGTTTTTGATCAGAAAGTAGGGAAGGACAGTCCATGCAGAAGATGATCCAAATTCTACCTAGAGGAAACTAGGCCATATTGTGGGCTGGAGTAACAAAAATGCAAACGTATACACATACAGACCAGAAACAGGCCTCTTCCAAATGAAAAGCTACAGAGTAATTGGTTAGAAAGAGAAAAAGAACAGGAAGGAAAATCTGACTGTATTCGTTGACCAGAGGATTATTATAACAAACCATTTAATGTCACTCTGAATCAGACAAATGTAATACTAGGATGAATTAGGAGAATTATTTCCGGCATATGTAAGGAAACATAATGCCATTTCTAATGTGTGAGCCCTCAAACCCCCAGACTAAAAAAGCCTAATGCTAATCAGGGTGGGAATTGAGAAGGGCTATGAGCTTGACTGAAAGAGCATGGTTTGTTTAGCTTGACAAAAATTAAAGCTGTTATTTAGTGCTTTCTTTTTAAAAATTCATTTATGGCTGCACATGAAGGAGGAAAAAAGGCACAAAGTTGGTAAAACTCAAAAAAATGTTTAGGTTTATAACAAAACCACTCCTGGAATTAGAAACTACTTCCTTTTGGGTATAATGAGGCCCAGGAATGAAAGAGGGCCAGGCGTATTAAGATGAAATCTGACAGAATAATGGGATTATAACACACGGCTGATGTGAGAGCAAAGGCTTATAGACTAGAAGGGACATTCTGGGTCTTAGACTCCTCTGTTAGAAACAAAACATCATAAATCAGCTTCCATATGGGATTGTTTTAAATGAGCTTTTTAGGAAGCTGGAAGTGAGCGGCAAACTACCTCAAAGGAGAGAAATGTTTCTATGGGTCAGCATGAAGCGAAACCGCTCAGGTGGTTTATGTTACCTCATCCAGCTTACGGAGCCTAGGACCCCCGCAAGAAGAAAGATTATTTTCTTCCTTAACTTACGCATTGCAACTACGATTCCTTTTGTATCAGCACTATTTCTAAATGACTCGCTCATCTAAATGAAAAGCGAGGGTGGCCTGCATATCCTCCAAGTTATGTCACGCCGAGCAATAAAACCTCCCCCCTGCGCGCGCTGACCGCAGCGCAGATACTCTAAAAGCCCCGGTGCCGTGAGGGGTCGTCCCGGCTCCCAGGCCCGTGCCCGGCTGCCCGCGTGGGCCGGAGCCAGGTGCCACCGGGG